GTGCTCGCGTCCTGGGGGTCTCAGCGGGGGTCTGCGGAGTGACAGACCACCCCGATCAGAGGTCCCGGCCCCGTGCCCATCGCCATCTTCCCAGGGGTGCCCCGCGGCAGCGCCCGGCAGATGGCTCAGGAGCCCAGCGGTGACGCCAGGGGCTTCTCTCCCAGACCAGGGCCCTGGCAGTCAGACCTAAGTAATGGGTCTGTGTCCCCTGCAGAGGCGAAGGCCCCCGGGAACATCACACAGACCCCATTAGGTGATGCCAAGTCCTCTTTCAATTACATGATCATTGTTGTCGCTGTGGTTCTGTTGATTGGCCTCTTTGGGTTGGTGGGGAACGGGACGGTCATCTGGCTGCTGGGTTTCCGGGTGAAGAGAAACCCCTTCTCGGTCTACATCCTCAACCTGGCCATCGCGGACTTCCTGTTCCTCTTATCCATCGCAGTTGTCGTGCTGCTTTTCATTAACAACACTCGGGATCTCACTATACTTATCCTGCCTGTGCTGTCCACGTCCTACCTGGCGGGGCTGACTCTGCTCATGGCCATCAGCACGGAGCGCTGCATCTCCGCGCTCTTCCCGATCTGGTACCGATGCCACCGCCCCGCCCACCTCTCGGCCATCGTGTGCGCTGTGCTTTGGGGACTGTCCCTCTGTCTGGGAGTAGTTTTCTCTGTGGGCATCTATTATCATCTTGTACTGTTTCTGATAGTAATTCTCGTCTACAATGTGACGTCCTTCCTGACCCTGCTGGTGCTGTGTGTGTCCAGCCTGACCCTGCTCTTCCGCGTCCACTGCGGCTCCTGGCGGAGACAGACCACGAAGCTCCACAGGGTCATCCTGCTCACCGTGCTGGCCTTCCTGCTGCTGGGGCTGCCCCTCAATGTCGGCTTGTTCATCAACCTCTTCTTCCCCTCACTGTTCAGTTTCCTCCGCTACGAGCCCATCTTCTACATCCCGTCCGTCCTGAACAGCACCGTCAACCCCGTCATCTACTTCTTTGTGGGGAGGCAGGGCCAGCTGCCGGGCCGAAAAGCTCTCCGGGACGTGCTCCAGAGCGCGCTGACGGAGGACACGTAGCTGAGCAGGTGAGGCCCCCGTCCTCTGTCAACCCTGCTGTCCACCTGGGCACGGGGAGGGGCAGCTGGGCTGGACCTCGGATCTGACCCTGAAAAGACCACCTGTCCGTGATCCATACTTTCTTTTCTTTCCATCTTGAATATTGCAGACTTCTCTCTTCTTTGCCCCTCAGCCTGGTTGCGCTCAACACAGACCTCAGCACCCTGTTGTCTGTGTCCACCGGCCAGGCCTGTGCGCACAAGTCCTGTGGTCAGTCTCCCCCACCCCACTCCCCTCTGAGATCGTCAGTCTGGCCCATGTTCCCATGACTCTCGTTCTGTTTCATTCATCAGTTTATCGTGTTTGTGCGGTTCCACGTGTACGTGAGACCATGTGATACTTGTCTCTCTCTGACCGGCTTCTTTTGCTGACGTAACACGGCCCAGGTCCCTCCGTGCTGTCGCAAAGGGTGGGAGAGCCTTTCCCTGCTGCATAGTATTCCACTGTGTAACGACCGTCGTAACTGCCCACCGAGGGCCTGAGTGCGTTAGGAGAAGTGAACATGTGTGTGGTGTCCACACTGTGCCCTGAGGTCACACGCGGGCCCCTGCGAGCTCACGTCCTGCCCCTCGTATGTTCCGACGAGGTCCCTCCCCCTCGCTGTGTTTCTCCAGCGTCCCCGGCCCTCGGCTGAAGGGCCAGGTGGGCACCAGGCAGGAAGGCCTCTGCCCTGAGACCCCAGAGCCCAGTGTCTGTCTCTGCTCTGCCTCCTAACACTCAGCGGAGCCATTTCCTTCCCCCGAGCATCACGGGGAGCCCGGGCCCCTGATGTCACTGTCCCCCTCTGTGTGTGTCTCAGGTGACATTCCTGCTCCTGCTGCAACAATGTCTCTCACTCTCCATATATACGGGAGCGAAGATTCCAGTGACCCATCCAAGAGGAAAGTTATGTCTCTCTCCGTGGGATGTGTGTGCATGTGTTTTATTGTGTGCATGCATGTAGGTGTGCATGCCTGTAGGTATGCGTGTGTGCATGTGTGTTCTCGTGTGTGCATGCAGGAGGATGTGTGCTGTGCACGTGTGTGCATGTAGATACGTGCACTAGCACTCTCTTTCATATATGTACATGCATGCAGGCAAGTGCAGTGTGTCCATGCATGTTAGTGCAAGAATGCATGTTAGCATGTATGCATGTACATACTTGTGCGTTTGTACATCTGTACATGTGTGTATGCATGTGATTGTGCACAAATATGCACGTGTGTGTGTCACATGCAGGTGAGGGTGTGCATGGTCCCCCCTGTGGCACGCGGTATAGAGGTGATAAGTGGACTGAAGTCAGGAGCCCGCATCCCATTCACACCCCAGGACACTCTCGTTAGGGGGGTGGTCCTCAGCCCCTCCCAGAATCCCACTAACGCAGAAGTCCACACCCACAGAGTGATGCTAACAAGGCGTCCACCTGGAGGGCGGCTCTGAGTTCAAGGGCATCGATGTCCTGAAACCACAGGAAGCACTGTTAGGGGCGTGGCACCGTTACCCGTGGAATGGAATTCTGTCCCCTCATCACAGTTGACACGTCCTTGTTGACAGCTGCAGGGGAGACGTTGGGGTCCCTGAGACAGGGCCCAACAGCAGATCCGTGTCCAGTGCATGAGGAGCAGACAGACGGGTCCTGTGTTGACCCCGTGATTGGATCCTGGACGGACTGATTCATCTGCGTGTCCCGAGTGCCCACCATGGGCGACCCTAGTGTCAGCGTTGGCGAAGTGAACTGTGACTACTGTGCAGGGAGAGGAAGGCGGCATAGACTTTTCCCAGTCGCTCCTTGTCCCCAACCTCAGAGGTAACGAGACTCACAGCCGGGACCCTCCCGACACAGGTCCCAGCCCTGCAGCGAAGGTGGATTCTGCCGCCAGTCGGGCATCAGAAGGAAGGTGCTGGTGTTTGTCTTTCTGTGAGGACTAATCTCACTTAGAATGACGCTCTCTAGGTCCATCCATGTTGTTAATGGTACAAGTCTTTCCTTTTCATTGCTGTGTAATATTCCACTGCATGTATGTTCCAGCTCGTCCCTACGCCTTGTCTGTGGATGGACACCTGGGCTGTCCTGTATCGTGGCTACTGTAAATAACGTGCAATGAACATATAGGTGCATATGTCTTTCCAAATTAGCATTTGGATGTCTTCAGAGATATGGAATTGCTGGGTCACAGGGTGGTTGCGGCTCTACTTTCGAGGATCCTCCACACTGTTTCCACAGGGGCGGCACCAGCCTGCCTTCCCCACGGTGCACGAGGATCCCCTCTGCACGTGCTCCCAGCACCTGTCGTCTGCTGATTGACGATGACAGTCGTTCTGACAGGTGTGATGTCCCAGCTCACTGTGGTTGACATTTCATCTCTGAGGGTTGGTGACCTTGAGCCTCTCCTCACATGTCTACAGGCCATCGGTACGTCCTCTTTGGAGAAATGTGTATTCAGGTCCTCTGCCCATTTTTGACTAGATAATATGATTCCACGTATATGTGGGATCTAAGAAAATACTAGATAAATGAACAGACCAAACAGAAATAGGCTCACAGATGGGGAGACACCCTGATGATGCCCGGTAGGGGGGGATGGTAAGAACGGGGGAGGGACGCAGAGGCGCACATGGCAGTCACCAGGCGGTCACGGGATGTTATGTCCACGCGGGGCGTGTGTCAGGGCGTGGCGTCTGAGGGGGGCACACTCATCGGGTGGTCACTCTGTATGACTATTTAATCACTGTGTTGTACTCCAGAAACGCATGCACCGGTGAAGTCAGCTGTAATGGAAAATAAGTAAACAAATAAAAAATACAATGTCAAGTAATAAATTGAGAAGAAAGTTGTCTGTCCTGCGGGTGATGCCCCTGGAGCGGGTCCGCGGGACGGCCCGTGCGCTGTCCTGATGGGAGGGGCTGAGGCTGTGCTGGGTGACAGGTGGTCTCTGTGGAGGTCAAGGCCTGGGTCGTGCTGTCTGTGGCCTGTGGCCTCTCCCCAGGCTGTCCTTCTGCCTGAGCCCCACCCTGCCCTGCCCTTTGCTGCGTCCTCCCGAGCCCGGTGCTCAGCGGGACCGTCTGCGCCCCGAGAGCCTCTGTCACTGGGCAGGAGGGTGGCAAAGTCCGGCCTGAATGGTGGGGCCACTCACAGGGCACCCGGACAGGCAGCGGGGCCCTAGAGCCTGCAGGGCTGGTGACCTGCTGGAGGCTGGCCTCCGGGTCTGGCAGGATGACAGCCAGGGGACATCTGGTTGGTCTGGGTCAGACCGGAGCCCACATGTTGGGTTGGGAGGAGGGGCCCTGGGGGGCAGTGCAGGGCCGGGGACAGAGGCTCTGAGGGCCGGGTGTTCGGCTGTGGCTGCTGTTCTGCTGGTGGCCCCGGAGTCCGTGTGTGTTCTCTGCGACGTTCCCCTCATCGGCCGCTCCTGTGCAGCTGTTTTATTATTTTATTCCAGAGCGAGGAACATCCATGTGACGCACACACGCTGACCAGGGACACACCCTGAAGCCTAGGTCTGTGCTCTGACCGGTCAGAGAATCCCAGACCCAGGGCTGCCCCAGAGGCTGCGAGAGCCAGGTGTCGGCCAGGTGGAGGGGTTCGGCGAGGGGCCGGGTGTCCAGGTGCGTCCCTCACGGCGTGGCGGAGCGTCTGGTCAGAGCGCCAAAGGGCAGCAGGACCGAGGTGGGTCTGGGGCTCGTCCAGTCTATGGCTGCGAAGAGGAGCCAGTCAGAGGGGCCGTGAGGAGTCACAGGGGCAGAGGCAGGGACGGAGGACAGGCCACCCTGCAGCAGGACAGAGACAGCGAGGGTGGGGGAGGGGCCAGGAGAGGCACCCCCCACCCCGAGCCTGGTCCCCACGGGCCTCGAGGACACACAGGAGCCCACAGACAGGCAGGCAAGGCGCTTACGTCAAGACAGTTAAAATCACACTCTCTTTATTCCAACCCTCTTCTAAGGAACAGAAAGGTCCCTCTCCCTTGAAACGTGGAACAAGATGTGTGGACACGCTGCGGGCTCAGGGCAGAGAGGGCACAGCTCCGCTCAAGGTCACCAGCAAGGCTGAGGTCACATGGGCCCTCCACGCAGGCCCGTCAGTCCACGCCGTCCACGTCCTGCCGCTCCCTCCTCTCCAGCTGCAGAACCTAGCAGGAGGGGCCCGTGAGAACGAGCGTCCCAGGGCGACCGCACACTGAGAAGCCGGACACACCACGTGCACGGACAGGCCACACGCCCGTGGCCACTGTGGGGCGGAGACACTGCTGGTGATGCTGCCCACCCAGCGTGGCTGCTCAGGTCTCCGCCTTTGCCCACCTCCTGATCTGGGGGGACCCCGGCTGGGCCCATCCAGGTGGGGACCAACCTGCCTCTCACTAAGTGGGAGCCGGGGGAGGGGTGTCCTGGGCATCACTGTGGGACCTTAGGGGGATCCCCGAGCTGCCCACCAGGTGCCCAGCAGCACACACTCTGCCCTGGTTCAGGTCCCCAGACACATCTCCAGAGGTGGCCGGATGTCCCCTGGGGGCAGCACCCCCCCCAAGAGCCACCGCCCTCAGCGCAGTGTGACCTGGTTGCAGCCTCAGTTTACCCATTGCCCCTCAGAAGTCAGAGTGGGCTCCCCCCGCCCGTGCTGTCCAGCTCAGGGTGCCCTCCCCACAGCTGACCAGGTTGAAGGGCTCCTGTCTCCCTCTCAGCCACCTGTCTCCTCCATCAGACTGTCACACGCGTGGGGGCAGCTGACCGGGGTCTATGGAGGGAAGGGAAGGGGGTCGGCCTATACCTGGTTTTGAATGATCCTGTGAGATTATTTTCTTTTAATTTTAGAAAGAGAGAAAGAAACATCGATGGGTTGTCTCCCACATGCACCCAGAGAGGGTATGGAACCCACAGCCCGGGTACGCGCCCTGACCGGGAACGGGGCCCGCGGCCCGAGTACGCGCCCTGACCGGGAACGGGGCCCGCGGCCCGGGTACGCGCCCTGACTGGGATGGACCCGCGGCCCGGGTACGCGCCCTGACCGGGATGGGACCCGCCACCTTATGCCTTATGGGAGGACGCTCCAACTTACGGAGCCACCCAGCCAGGGCCCTTACCTGCTTTAAAATTGGTTTTATTGCCCGGCCAGTGTGCCAGTGGACTGTCGTCCCAGGGACTGAGGGGTCTGGGTTCGATTCCCGGTCAGGGCACATGCCCGGGTTGTGGGCACAATCCCCAGTAGGGGGCGTGCAGGAGGCAGCCAACTGATGTTTCTCTCACCCATGGGTGTTTCTCTCTCTCTCTCCTTTCCTCTCTCTCTAAAATATCAAAAATAAATACCATTGGTTTTATTAACCCTCCCTGGGTTCTGTTATTAATTATCTGGGAAAAGGACGGGCACAGGGAGGTTAGCAGCCGTGCAGCCGTCCGCCTGTCCAGCTGTCCGTCTAGGACAGGGACTGGCACTGAACTCACACCACGGGGGACGGCTGCTCATGTGGGGTGCGCGACCCCCGTAGACACTGCACAGCCTGGACCGCCCACGCCCAACTCTGCTCTGCGGGGACCAGGACGGTAAACACACCATCGGGTCCGCCCCTCTCAGCTGCCAACGCCCCGAGCCGCCGGGGCTCCGGGCCGGGCACTGGGGGCAGCGCTCTGCCGTGTACCTGGTTTTCTATGCAGCGGAACTGCCAGGGCCAGCCGGCGCGGTAGAGAAAGGGCCGCAGGTCGAAGCGGTTGTCGTCGGGGCTGTAGCGCTCGGCGTGGTACCCGGGCGTGAGCGTGGTCGTCTTGTGCCGGTTCAGGGAGTACTTGGAGAAGAACTGCTTCACCTTGTCAGCCACCTGGCGGGCGGGGAAGGCACCAGGCCTGAGTCACCTGCGCTGCGCCAGCCGAGCGTCCCCGCGGCATCGGAAGGTCCCTGGACGTGGGACGGACAAATGCCAGCGCTCGGGCCGGGGCGGCGGGCTGAGCACAAACCGTGTGGATTCTGACACCAGCACCCAGGAGACCTGAGCGGGGTCCCGGAAGCATCTACCGCCTCGGCTTCCGGGCGGTTCTCCGGGGCCCAGCTCTGCAGGCCGCAGCCCCACCAAGCCTGACGAGGAGGGAGAGCGGCTGCGCTCTGCCTGCACGGGAAGGGCGTGGGCGCTGGCTGTGGGGTGCCGAGGCCTGAGCTGGGGACGGCTGGGAACTGGGCGGAGGCAGCGTGTGGGTCTGAAGGTCACGCCCGCCGGACTCGCCCTGCAAGCCCAGGCCGCCTCTGCCCGGCGACGTGCCCGGGTACCTGCCGAGGGCTGCAGAGGTCTCTCCACAGGTGCAGCAGTTTGCAGAACATGCTGTAGGGCCCGGTCTTGGCCACCTTCCGGAGCGTCCCGTAGACCGAGAGCTCCGCGTACGTCATCCCCATGTCTTCCTGCGGCGAAGGGTGGCAGAGTCCGTGCCGGGACGGCCGACCCCTTCCTGGGGGGACGGGGACCGGGACCCAGGGGCGGGGACCCAGGGCAGAAGCACGGTGACAGCGCCGCCGTTACCTCGTCAGTCTGGGACACCTGTCCGTCGGCCAAGGGCTCCAGCTCCGCGGTGGCCGGCGCGGCCAGGATGCTGTGGAGAGATCGCACAGTCAGTCACGGAGCCGGGCCCCAGTGACGCCCACAGGTGCTCCTGGCACCAGGGTCTCTGAGGCACGAGACAGAACCTGCATCAGACCTCCTGCCTGGATGGCGGGGGAGGGGGCGGGGGAGGCAGGTGGCGGCTGCCTGGTGTGGCCGGGCCCAGGGGCTGGGGAGCAGGAGCAGGGCCAGGGGGTCCTGGTCCTGAGATTCTCAAGCGCAGGCGGAAGGGGAGACTGATCATCAGGGGGCAGGGAGCTGGGGTGGTAGCCGAGCGGGCGAGGGTGTCTCGGGCCGGCTGGGCCGGGCACGGGGCTCAGGGCCGCACCGGGCTCTGGGGTGCTCACCGCTGCAGGGCGGGGAGCTGGAAGCGCTCGACGCAGAACTGGATGAAGGCCCGCAGGTCCGTCTTGCTGATCCCGCCGATGGGGTTGATGTCCGCGCTGGAGCAGTCGTACTTGGTCAGATAGCCCAGGAGGCTGCGGCGGAGAGAACGCGTCCCTGTGGCCGACCCCAGGGGCTGCCGATGCCGCCAGCTGGGGCCTGGCGTCCCCGACTCCTTCCCCCGGGGCCCGGGGAGCCAGAGCTCGGCAGGTCGGGGGCCGTCCGGTCGGCCTGGACGGACTGTGAAGGGGCAGAGCTGCCGAGAGAGGACCCAGGGCCTGGCTGGCCGGAGCCAGGTTTGGGGGCCTCAGCCCCTGCGGGGGGCACCCTACCCTGGGGTGGAGGACAGAGCCTCTGTGCACATGGGGGGCTGAGCCCCAGCAGCAGGGCCAGCTCCTCAATGCCGTCTAGAGAGTCAGAAGAGTACCCCGAAGATGCCCACATCCTCATCCCTGGCACCCCTGAGGACATGAGCTGGCCCCGTGGAGGTGAGGACTTGACCCTGCATCCCTGGGTGCGCCCTAAGTGCAACCCCAGGGAACAGGGATCGGCGGGGGATGGGGGGAGGTCAGAGGAGCTGTGCCCACAGCGGACAGGCCCAGAGATGCTCTGAGGTGGAGGGAGGGCCACCAGCACAGGAATGCGGGCGTCCGGAACGGAGCGGCCAGGAACAAACGCCCTGCACCCAGGAGGACCCAGGAGACCGCTTTGTGCTGCTGAGGCCCGACGTGGGCATTTCTCGTGGCGGCCACGGCCACGGCCACCTCCTCCGTGCAGGCCCCGTGGTCTCTCACCGGGACAACTGCAGGTCTCCACCCCACCTCCAAGGCCCGTCCTGACCGGCACACTGGGCTGTCTGAATCTCCTCAGTGGGGCCCTTCCCGCACACGGCCTAGGGTCTGGCTGCCTGTCTCGCGAGGCGCATTTCTGCCCCCCACCCCACCCCCGGCTCACACTCAAGGCTGCATCCGAGGCGGCTCCTTCCCCACCTGGAACCCTCCGTCCCGGAGCTGAAAGGCCCTGTCCGGCCAGCACCACTTGCCGTGGCTGCTCTGAGGACGTCGCCCTGAGAGAGGGAGGCTCCCACCTCAGGGCCTTTGCACAGGCTGCCTGAGCGGTGTCTCCCCCTCCCCACCCCCACAGACCGTCATACACGAACACGCCCCGGGCCTCCCCGGCACCCTGCTTCCCATCGACACCCACGCTCCCTTTCCCTGCTCTCTCGCTCTCGGGCGACGGTGTCGCGAGCACCGGGGCATGTCCGGCGTGATCTGTGTGCTCCGCTAGGGGGACGGGCACGGCCTTCCTGTCCCATTCACAGCGCGGGGCACCTGTCCGTGGGGCTGCTCCCATCTGTGTGTCCCTCGAGCAAACTGGAACCCAACGCACCCAAAGGAAGACAGACTGGAGACGTTTCTGGTGCGTGTGACTCCTCGCCCGAGGTGTTTCCCATCGGTTCCCGGAGAGCAGACGGGAGGGCGAGGGAGAGAGAGACACTGACGTGTGAGGCACACATCAACTGCTGCCTCTCTCGTGACCCGCCCCGGGCCAGTGACTGCACCTGCAACCAGGTAGGGCCTCACTGAGAACCGAACGTGCAACCCTATGGTCCAAAGGGCAGTGGGCTCGACTCCTGGTCAAGGGCACGCACCTCGGGTGCAGGTTCGATACCCGTCCCCGGTCAGGGTGAAGCGGGAGGCAGCAGTCAGTGCGTCTCTCTCTCCCTTCCTTCCTTCCTTCCGCTCTCTCTGAATATCCGTGGAAACATCCTCGGTGAGGAGTAAGGAAAAATGGAACAAAACAGACGAACACCCCCGCTCTCTGAATATCCGTGGAAACATCCTCGAGGGAGGAGTAAGGAAAAATGGAACAAAACAGATGAACACACCCCCCCACATTTACCGCCGGGCCAGACAACGGCATTCCAGGCGGTCACCCCAGACACAGAGGCTACGCACAAAATGAAAGAATCAACGCGACGGAGAGTTATAACCTGGGGGTTCTACCCCGAAACGTCAAGGAAAAGAAGAGACGGTGGCGAGTGAGACGGACCCACCCAGCCCCACAGACGGGACAGAGGGCGACAGCGGCGGAAGGAGGCGTGTGTGGCCACAGCGGGCTCAGCGGCAAAGAGAAACGAGGGAGCCCTCAGCAGGTGCCGTAAATCCCCCTGAACCGACGCCCAGCATTTCTGAGCACCCCCCACCCCGAGAAACACGTTCGCTAAGACATTAAATACCAGAAAACACTGGACTAGGGTTGTGAGGGGAAACGTTACAATAACGTAACTACGCAACACACGAAATTCTCGTTCGTCCACGTGCACGAAAGAACCCCAAACATACACCCCTATTCTGAACTGCGTCAGGGCTCGGTGACGCCAGCCATCGCCCCTCCTGAAGGTCCGGCTCACAGTGGGGGGGGGCAGCGGGAGGGGAGCCGAGCGCCAATGAAACGCGCAAGGGGAGGGCGAGGGCGTCCCAGCTTCAGGGTGCTGACACCACGTGGTCGTGCTTAGAGAGTAAAATAGGGGACTTCCAGTCTAGATGGCAGGTAGGTAAATGCGGCATCGCGTCCTCCTACAACCACATCAAAGTTACAACTAAACTACAGCACAACCATCATTCACAACCGCCTGAAATCCAGCTGGATGGAAGTCCTACAGCTACGGAATCAGAGCAGCAGCCACCTCGAGACTGGTAGGAGGGGCGGAGGCGGAGGGGCTGGTCCCACACCCACGGGTGGCAGATAAAAATCAGGAGGCCACCTGGGCTGGCAAGGTCCTCCCTGAGGACTGAGGGGTCCCCGTCCCACACCAGGTGCCCCGCTCAGGGTTCCAGTGCCAGGAAGAGAATCCCCATCACTTCTGGCTGGAAAAACCAGCGGGAACTGAGGCTCAGGGAGGCTGAGGCGGCTGGAGCCCCAGGCAGCTCCTTAAAGGGACCGCGCACGGACTTATCAGACTCTCTCCCTCTAAGCTTGGAGGGGAGGCAGCTCGAGGGGCGCCAGAGACATACAGGGAAGAACTGAGCTGTTTGGCACTGGAGCGAGGGCTGGAGAGGGGGCTTTCTCCAGGACAGACGTGCTGTAAGAGGCCCTTGTTCCTTTGGTGAGCCCTTCCCGGGGGCGGCAGACAGTCACCATATCTGGGACTCCAGCAACCTGGCTCACACTGGTAGCCCCGCCCGGCTGACTCCCTGAGCCCCCCCACCCCACCCAACTTTCAGGCCCACCCAAGCTGTTGCCACTTGCTTAACCATAGGACTGGTCTGTCTTGGATCCTGCTTCAGGTTTTTCCTAAATTCTTTCAAACAAGCAGCATCTGGTCTCAGATAGCCCCATACCCCTCGTTAAGTAATACACAGAAACAAACACAGGGAGGCAGCCAAAATGAGGAGACAAAGAAACAGGTCCCAAATGAAAGAACAGAACAAAACCCCAGGAAAAGAACGAAGCGAAATGGAGATAAGCAACCTAACAGATGCTGAGTTCAAAATACTGCTTATCAGGATGCTCAATGAACTCAGTGAGAACCTCAGCAAACTTAGGGAGGGCCTCAAGAGCATAAAAAAGGACCAGTCAGAAATGAAGGAGGCACAGTCAGAAATGAAGGAGGCACTAACTGAAATAAAGAATAATTTATACAGATACAATAGTTGAGTAGGTAAAGCCAAGAAGCAAACCATCGATTTGGAATATAAGGAAGCAAAAAACGCCCAATTAGAACAGCAAAAAGAAAAAAGAATCCAAAAAATGAGGATAGTGTAAGGAGCCTCTGGGACAACTTCAAGCGTGCCAACATTCGCATCTTGGGGTGCCAGAAGGAGAAGAGAGAGAACAAGAAATTGAAAACCTATTTGAAACAATAATGGCAGAAAATTTCCCTAACTTGGTGAAGGAAACAGACATACAAGTCCAGGAAGCACAGAGAGTCCCAAACAAGATGAACCCCAAGAGGCCCACACCAAGACACATCATCATCAAAATGCAAAAGGTTCAAGACAAAGAGAGAATCTTTAAAGCAGCGAGAGAAAGGCAGCTAGTTACCTATAAGGGAGTTCCCATTAGGCTGTCAGCTGATTTCTCAAAAGAAACTTTGCAGGCCAGAAGGGAGTGGCAAGAAATATTCAGAGTGATGAAAAGCAAGAACCTACAACCAAGGTTACTCTATCCTGCAAAGCTGTCATTTAGAATCGATGGCCATATAAAGCCTTTCCCAGACAAGAAAAAGTTAAAGAAGTTCATTACCACCAAACCATTGTTATATGAAATGTTGAAGGGTCTTTTTGAAGAAAAAGATAAAATATATGAACAAACAAAATGGCAATGAATACATATCTATCAAGAACTGAATCTACAAACAAAATGAACAGGCAGAACAGAAACTTTCTCATAGATACAGAGAAGATTTTGTTGGTTGCCAGATGGGAGGGGGTTGGGAGAAGGGTGAGAAAGGTGAAGGGATTAAGAACAAAGTGGATGCTAGACTGACAAACCTCAAAGAGAAGGGGGTTGGGGGGTGGGAAGAAATAAACCAAAGAACTTATATGCATAACCAATGGACACAGACAACAGTGTGGGAAAAGGCAGGAGGCGGGAGTGGGTAGGAGGGGGTCAATGGGGGGAAAATGAGGAACATCTGTAATACATTCAACAATAAAGATAAGAAAGAAAAGAAAAAAAAGAAAGTAAAATAAAATCCAACCCTGCAAATATCTGAGAGAGAATCTGCCAGTAGACACGCAAGGATGCAGAAAGAGTAAGCAGCTGTACTATGGGTAGGGAGATGGTGGGTGGATAGATGGGTGGATGGTGGGTGGGTGGGTAGAGGGTGGATACTAGGTGGGTGGAGGGTGGATACTGGGTGGGTGGAGTGGTGGATGGCGGATGGACTGAAGGACAGATGGTGGACAAACGGATGGAGAGATGAATGGGTGGACAGACTGGCGCACAAACTGACAGCAGGACCAATGACGACACACAGGCTCTGCACGTCCTCAGTGACGGGGAGTGACCAGGAGCAGCAACCAGAACAGCTGCGGGGCCGGGACTGCGGACACCAGGGCGGGGCCGGAGCTCGCCCACCCTGCACCCTGCACCCTGCACCCTCCACCCTGCACCCTGCACCCTCCACCTTGCACCCTGCACCCTCCTCTGTGGGCTTGCAGGTCTGCTGGGATTTATCTGGAAGCCCTGAATTTCTTTTCAACCTGGGATCAACATGATGGAGACCGTGTGTTCAGTCCCAACACAGAAGGGGCCTGGTTTGGAGTGAAAACTGGGTGCGGAGAAAGGCCCCGAGCGGCGTGGGATCCGCACTGGAGGAGGAGATGGGCCTCCCGTGCGAGGTGGGTGGGAAGACGAGTCCGCGTCCAGCGTGAAGGAGGAACGGGAGCGGGGGAGGGGCGGCAGCCTCCACCCTCGGGGCCCTGCGAGGTGCCGGAGACCATGCTGTGCCCTGAGCAACCCGGGGTGACGTGACGCCCCCGGTGCACCGCACAGCAGCGGCAGATGCTACGGACACACTGCCTGGAGGAGCACTCACCCCCGAGATCTGAGGTGCTCAGGACCCCTCCCCGCACCCGCCGGACACACACCTCTCGTCCACGTTGGCCGATCCCAGCACCAGAAGTCCACCTGGAGCACCCCGAGACCAGAGGCTCAGCTGAGCGAAGAGATAGGCGATGACCATCCTCAGTCGAGCCTGGACGACAAGGGGGAAACGTCACCCTGCGCAGGGCACAGGCGTGGGGGACGCGTGAGTTGGCATCACGGTCCAGTCGCAGCTCGAGAGACAGGCTCTGCCCAGGCGGCCCCGGAACAGCAGGGTCAGAGGCGTTCGGCCCCCGTGTCCAGAGAAGACCGAGCTGCCTCCGCGGCGCCCGTGCTCAGCGCTGGCCGAGACCAGGACTGGGGGGCCCAGAGCCGGGCCGGGTGTGGGGGGGGGCTGGGCTGCTGACGCACTGGGAGAAATCTTGACACCCAGTCCCACACCCTGTGTCATTGGTGGTTCTGGAGGAGGGGAGGCCACCCACGTCCAGCAGAAGGGCGACAGAGAGGGGGCAGCTCCAAGCAGCTGGAGCCCGGGGCCCTCTGTCTCCACCAGCCGACCAGCACCAGCTTCCCTGAAGCAGCCCTAAGGGGGCAGTGAACCCACACCGAAGAAGCAGAGAACATTCACGCACACGGTGCACACTCACACCGCACCCGCATGCGTGCTCACTCACACACACCGCACACGCATGAGTGCTCACTCACACAACCGCACACGCATGCCGTGCTCACCCACACACACCGCACGCATGCCGTGCTCACCCACACACACCGCACACGCATGCCGTGCTCACCCACACACACCACACACGCATGCCGTGCTCACCCACACACACCACACACGCATGCCGTGATCACCCACACACACCGCACACATGCCGTGCTCACATACACCGCACACATGCTGTGCTCACTCACACACACCGCACGCGTGCCGTGCTCACTCACACACACCGCACGCATGCCGTGCTCACACACACCGCACGCACATGCCGTGCTCACCCACACACACCGCACACATGCCGTGCACACACTGCACACGTACACTCACCCACACTCTAATGCACACACGTGCACACACATGCTCACAATCCACACACTCACAGCCCCTTCTCACAAACTTTCAAACCCCGTTACGCCCGCACCCCCGCAGACGCCCTTGCTCTTGCCCACACGCACCCCTGAGCCTTGTCCGGGAGGCCGCAGGGTCAGCCCACCCTCCCGTCCCGGGTCCCTGCTGCCCACACAGTGGCCGTGGCCGGGCTGGGAGGCCCACCTGCACGTTCTGCAGGGCCAGGTTCTCCCGGCTGCTTCCTCCGTGAACCGCAAACAGGGGCCTTTTCCCCGTCACCAGGCTGAAGATGCCCACGACGGCCTTCACGGCGGGGTCGATGCCGAGGCCGATGTGGTGGCTGCAGGAGGGCGGGAGGGTGTGAGGGGCAGGCGGGGCGGGCAGGGGTGAGGCGCACGCAGCGCAAACCGCCGCTTTAACCGGTCCCAGTGCGCCCACAATGCGTGCAACCGCCTGTCCAGTTCCAGAACTTTCCATCACCCCCAAAGGAGACCCTGGACCCACCCGCTGTCCCTCCCCAATCTCCTCTTCAGTCCCTGAAACCACCAATCCACTTTCTGTCTCTATGGACCTGCCCACGCTGGGCATTTCGGACGTGGGGTCACACGACGTGTCCCTCTGTGTCTGGCTTAGTCACTCAGCACACGTCCTCGGGCCCGTCCACCTTGCAGGCATCAGGGTTGCCTTCGTCTCTAAGACCGAGTCATAAACATCGCACTGCGTGGACGGACCCCCGGTGTGCCCAGCCTGCCGACGGCCACGCGGGCTGACCCGCCTTCGGCTGTGTGACCAGCGTGAGCACGGGTGTGCTCCAGCTGCGTGGGTCCCTGCACCCGGGCTTCAGGTCCAGGCTCATTAGTGGGACTTGGGGACGGCTCTGAGCTGAGCTGGGCGAACGGGGCAGCTCCTCGCTCTTCCTGAGGAGGCAGCGTGAGCGGGGCCCCGAGAAAGGCCCTCGCCGTCCCCCTTCTTCAGCCACGACCGCGGGGTGGAGAGGGCCGGCGGGGCGTGACCCTGGGACACAGGACGGGAAGGAGGGCGGAAACCAGACAGCTGGGATTCGGGGCCCAACTGGTGCATAGGCTCCCCCAAACCCGCCTGACTCCTCGATGCACGCTGAGCACCTCCCGATCTGCTGCGCCAGCTCTCGGGCCCGGTCGCTCGTGTCCTGGGAGGAGTTCTCGCTGGCCATGTAGCAGGTGGTCAGGAGGCGTCCACAGAGCTCCCTCGGGTCCTGGGGGGTGTAGCTGGCCTGGCTCACGACGGCCCGGACGTCGGCCAGCACCTCCTGATCTGAAAACCACAGCACGGAGGGGGCAGCCGCTTGCTGCGCGTGGGCCCCGGAGCCCAGTCCCTGCCCCGCCCCCAGCACCTCGTCACGGGAGGAGCGTCGCCCCGTGGGGTCTGGCTGCACCCCGGAGGGCTCGGTCAGTGCCAAGGCGGGCCAGGGGAGGACGCGCAGTCGGGTTGCCCGGCCCCGAAGCCTGTGCCTTGTCCCGGGCCACAGTGACGAGAGACAGACACACAGATGGCTGTGAACCGTGTGCCGTGAACACAGCCCCTGGCCCAGAGCCCGGGCAGGGACTTTAGTGGCCTTGCTGCCCCAGGCCCAGGCCCCGGGAGGATGCAGGACATCTGAGCACACCTGCAGAGCCTCCTCCACCCACGACGCCCACGGCCTGGCCTTCCCTCTGCTCCTCCACAGGCAGCGAGCGCCGGCCCCCAGAGCTCCCCCGCCCCCCACAGACGTCACTTACTTCCCGTCTTCACGGCCTCGCAGACCTGGCGGCACATGGAATAGACGAGGCAGGCGGTGGCCGCGCTGTCCACCCCGCCGCTCAGGGGCAGGAAAAACCCGGCCTGGAACGAGCCAACCCAGCGCAGCTATGAGCACACCTCAGAGACGGGTGCACCCCAGCTCAGCCCCACCCACCCGCGAACCTGGACGAGCACCCATGGCGATGACGGGGGCACCCGCGCTCTCACGGGGGAGGGAGAAGGTGCCTGCACACCCCACTGTGGGTTTCCAGAGGGCAGAGGCCTTCCACTGGAGGGCGCCAAGGCTGACCTCGTGGGTATGAGACACGCTAACCCCCGGACAGGGTGTCTGGTAACCGACTGTCAGCAGACAGGAGCCCGACCCTGGCCACACGAACCTCGGGGCCCTGCGGGCCCTGCCCGGTGCAGACCGCGCCCGGACGGAGCCGAGTGCAGAAACGCCGCGGCGGCGGCCTGCGTTTAGCAAACAAAACCCTGGCGCGCTCCAGAGTCCGCGCAGACCAGGGAGAAGGCGCCAGTCTGCCGGGGAGACCCGACGTCTTACCTGTTGGCTTCGTCGTAAAAAATCCCAGAGCCAGCAAGCGGGCCCGAGGCTGGGGAGCAATGGGAAGGGTTAGGTTTGGGAGCCGCCGACCTGGCCCACAGCTCACCGGGGCAGGTGCCAGGGGAAGCAGAGCCCGTGAGGGTGGCCAGTGGACCAGGTGCCAGTCTGTTTCAGCATCTCACTAGACTGACGCATCTTACTTATTTATTTATTTTTATCCTCACCTGAGGACATTTTTCCATTTTTTTGTTCAGATAGAGTGGAAGGGAGAGGGAGAGAGAGAGACATCGATGTGAGAGAGACACATCGACTGGCTGCCACCCACACGACTCCAACCGGGCCGGGGACACACTGCAACCGAGGTACGTGCCCTTCGCGGGAACCGAACCCGGGGCTCTCTGGACCGCAGGCCAACGCTCTAACCGCTGAGCCAAACCGGCCAGGGCAAACTGATGCATTTTAAAAAACAGCCCTGGCCGGTTTGGCTCAGTGGTTAGGCGTTGGCCCGCGGACCAGAGAGTCCCGGGTTCGATTTCCGCGAAGGGCACGTACCTCGGTTGCAGTGTGTCCCCGGCCCGGTTGGGGTCGTGTGGGTGGCAACCACTCGATGTGTTGTCCCTTTCACATCGATGTTTCTCTCTCCTCCTACCCCCAACTCTACCTGAAGATAAAAGGAAAACACCATCAGATGAGGACTTAAAAAACATAGCCCTGGCAGGCGGGTCCTGCCACTGGTCCCACTTTGAAAGGGGGACACCAGGATGCAGGGGGAGGGGACAGCGTCAGAGCTGGGGGTGGCACCAGGCCCACGTCCTCAGCCCACGACACGCAGCCACCTCCTAAGTGGCTCCCCTGCCAGTCCTGGAAGCCACGGCGTCGGCTCCGCGTGGCCCCAGCGCAGAGCAGACCACGACAGTGTGGGTGGAGGGTGTGGCCCCCGGGCCCCCGCCGGGGGAAGGCCGCCCACCTGATCTCCTCGCTGGTACTGTGGTATTTCCACTCCACGGGCTCGGACAGCGGCTCCAGCAGGTCCTCGTGGTGAGAGAGGGCAAAGTCCACCTTCACGCGGGGGTAGGGGCTCGCCCGGCTGGCCTGTGGACGGAGGATGAGGTCGGCACCAAGCCCTCGCAGGGTCCCGACATGGGCCCAGAGAACTGTCGGCCAGTGGGACCCCCACGTCAGCCCCTCAGCGGGACCTCTCCCACCCACCAGGACGGCTACGATCGGAAAGACCCCGGCGGGAATGCCAGACCAGATGGACAGTCGGCAGCTCCTCCGAAGTTTACAGCGTAGAATGACCACGTGACCAGCCGTTCCACTGCCGGTCCGTGCTCAGTGGGAACAGTGTACACACCAAACCGGGGTGCGCATGCACCACAGCACACGCGTTGTGGACAAAAAGTGGACACAGCCCACGTGTCCATCCGTGGACAAGCACAATGTGGTCCACCCACGCAGTGGAATATTACTCGGCCTCCAAAAGGAACGCAGCCCCGGCACAGGCTACAGTGTGGACAAACCACGAGAACACTATGCTCAGTGAGGAGCCGGTCCCAGCAGACCGACCACATGTGGTCAGCACAGCCCGGTCCACGGAGACAGGAAGCTGGCTGGTGGTTGCCGGGGGCTGGCGGATGTGAACCTGGTTCTTTCTGGGGTGCTGAAACGTTCTAACATGGATGGTGGTGACGGCGACGTAGCACGTGCACGAATACACTAAAAACCACGGAGTCAAGTGCTTAATTCAGTGAACTGTGCGGTACGGGGAAGACATCTCACGAACGCTGTCATTAAAAAACAAGAGCTCCGGGTCTTTGGCCAGCACTCGACCAGGGTGTCCACGTACCGCCAGATTTCGTGACGACATCTCCGCCCTGTAGCTTCTGACGTCCTCCAAATCCAAGGTGGCGGTGAGGACTTCCTGGAGGAGGAGTTTCAGAGAGAAAGTGTGAATGTCTCATTTCCACACACACGTGCAACTTGACCGCTTGAACAGGTGTGCCAAATTGCATGCGGATGAGGCACAGCTTCCGGGGCTGGCACTGGGGACCTGTGGCCTCAAGGGCCCAGGGAGCGCGAGGGCCGGCATGGTTGCCACCCCAAAGCCCTTCCGCTGTTGCCCCTAGAACCTCTGCTGAATTCAGACTCCCCTGTGCCCTGTTCATCACCGCACAGGACATATCCTGTCAATAAATATCTTCTGGGGGCTTCTGAGCTTCTAGACACATGGAAGCAAGGGCCCCTGTTCTGCCTTTGAAGGTGGCTGTGTGGAGACGTGGAGATGGGATCGCTGGAGCTGCTGCAGCCGTGCTGTGACCATGAGGAGAGGCACTCCGAGAGTGAAGCCCGCACAGAGCATGGCCGGCAGAGAGGTGGGGCCAGGGCTCTGCAGCCCACTCCCGGCCCCGGCCCCAAGGTGCTGCCTGCCTGTGCGTCTGTGCCTCTGACCCCAGATGAGGTGTGCTGGGTGGGGGGAGGGGGTTCTGCTGCTGGCAACACATGGCAGAAAAAACCCAAGGTTTTAATTTGCAAATGTGATTCCTTTCTTTACAGAAATAAAAATACATCCTCATGAAATTCCATCACCAGAACGTCATCTCAAGGCACGCGAGTGTGGGCACCACGGAGGGACACCGGGCCGGGCACAGCTGCCGTCGTCCGCACCGGGCTAACGCCGGCTGCAAACGTCCCGTCAGAGAGAGACTAAGGCATCCTGGGTTCTCCCGTCATTTCCCAAGTGACGGGCCACGGAAGCCACCACACCGCTCGCGTGACGAAGGCGAAGGACGTGTGGAGCCGCAGGGAAGCGAACAGACCCTGGAGGGCGCGGCTGTTCGCGCGAGAAGAAGGCCCCCTCCCAGGTCTCCCCGGACGAGGCCGGTTCCATCGCGAGGCCCGACAGCCCGGAGAGGCACCAGCCTGGGAAGGGTGGGTGTCTGCGTGGGAGGGGCAGGGCGGCCGAGACAACCCCACACCAGGGTCTCTGGCTGTGTCCTGGGCAGGTCGTAGAGGAGGTGATGAGACCCCAGTGCCTTCGGCCTGAGGACAGTGACACCATCTCCATCCCTGACCCCTCGGGCAACATCAGGGTGCTCCGGCTTGAGGCCCCCGAGGTGCGTGCGGCAAAGGAAGTCAGATTTCGTGTGCTCGAGAATCACGTGTACAGATCGGGAGCCCTGGGCGTCTGTCTCGGGGGCCTGGCTAGGACCCAGCTCCTGTAGGGACCTGCACACCTGCTGATCCTGGTGCGGGTGACCCCCACCCCCGACCTGCCAGCCGATTCCGCCCCCAGGGGCCTGCGGCTTTGACGTGCGGCCGCAGGTCTTGTCCAGACCAACCTGGACTTTAGCAAACAGCCCTCTTGGGACGGGGACACAGACACTCACAGGACCTGGCTCTTCCCTTTCAGGCCCGTCTGTTACGTCAACCTGACCAACAGGGGGCCTTGGGGACGCTGGCCCCTGGGCAGCAGAGCCGGGGGACGGTGAGGACCTCACGGCGGAGACGAGGGTGCCCAGGTGCCAGCCCTCCCTCCCTCCCTCCCTCCGGGCAGGAAAAGCCTGCGGAACCCTCGTCGAGCGCGGCCACCGTGACACCGAACGTCGGTTTCCTAACCAGTTCCACGCCGATGACCCCGACTGCGGAAGGCGTCAGACAGACACCCCAGGCTCCGCCGTCCCTGATGTGACCCCAAAGGCAGTGAAGCCGCAGGGATGACGCAGGGGCTCACCAGAGGGGACTTTATCATCCTGTGAGACACGCTGGCCCCGCTCCCTGGAAACTCAGGCCCCTGTGACCTGGCCTTTCCTACGCTTGTCCCCCAAGTACCAGAGCTGAAGGCGCTGGACCCCAAGGCAGGGAGGGAGCACCGGCACCCTGGACGGGAGGTCCGAGCCGGGACGTGGCCTCGGCGCTCACACTGCCCACCAGCAGAGCCCAGTGGTACCGTGTTTGCACGACTGGGATTCGTGCCCACGCTGGGCTCCAACAGTCATTTTTCCCTTTGGCGTCACATAAACGGAGGTGACAGTGACAACGCTCTACAAGGACCTTTCCGTCTGCTGACCCCCGAGGGGCCTTCAGGTCCCGCCCGTCCACGCCTGGGGAACCGGGGCGCCTGTAATTGCTACTGCAAAGCCTCTTCCTGCCACAGCTACGGCTGGTTCACCCCGCTCCCGGGGCCACCTCGGGGTGACCTGTGCGGGGCGCGTCCTGCTCCCGGGCGGTGCACAGGTGGGCCTGACGGACAGCTGTGGCCTCACCTGTCCCGGGTGGGCCGTGGGCCGCGTGGGGACCGTCCCCGTAAATGCAGGTGACAGGGACCCAGCCGGCCAGGACACTCCCGGGCCCGCACTGGATACCCGGTGGTGGGGCGACGGAGAAAACAGCCTGGATAGGACCCGACTCAAAAGGGACCGCACGCTGTTCCCACACGTACACGCGGGCCACTCACCACGTCGTCCAGCGAGAACTGGGCTCCCTGGGCGAACACGCGGCCGTTCATGGCGACCATGGCGCAGCCGTCGTAGTAGAGCCGGTCTCCGTCACAGCCCTTCTGGTTGGCCAGCAGGTAAATCCCGCCGCTCTGGAAGACAGGCCGGCAGCAGGGTCACCTCGCCGGCCACCGGCTCCCGCCGTCGCAGACCCCTTCCCACCAGCTCGGGACCAGTGTCTGCAACGCAGAAACGGACGAGCACAGCCTTCTGGGGCCCCAGGTGCCACGGACGCATCTATGTCCCCTCCCAACAGCCCACAGGCGGGCTGGCATCTCCATCCGGTAGGAGGGGACGCAGAGGCGCAGAGAAGACAGACCCCCGTGGGCCGAAGCCGAGATACAAACCTGTCCTGTGAGTGGCCGAACAACACGGCCCCCACTGTGTCACCGACCAGGGTGGCAAATGTGTGGGTGGTCCCCGCACTCCGCCACAATGGGAACGGCAAGGGGCACAGCCCGGTTCCCGGTGACCGCATCCCTGGTCCCGAGACACAGGGCGGTGGTTGTGTGAGCCCTGCGGCCGCGTGGCCGCCCTGTGCCCTGTGTCCTGCCAGGGAGGGACCCCCACGGCACCTGCTCCCAGGGCGGACGTGAGGGTTGAGTGAGGCTGGGCAAGAGGAGCCCAGGAGGGGAGGGGGGCTGCTGGCCGGGTGCCAGCCACGACCAGCAGTACCGCACGGCTCTCGTGCCCGGGCACGCCCTGCACTAGGCACCGGGGACTCGGCGTGGGCGAGACAGAGCTCGGCCCAGGGTGCACGTGTGCTCCGGCATCCACGCCCGACGCCTACCTTGGTGGTGGCCATGGTGACCAGGTCCACCCTGGTGTGGGCTTTGCGCAGCACGTGGTGACTGCTGGAGGCGTTGGTGAAAATCTCCACGCCGTCCAGGCCCATGTCGATGTGTGGGCTGCGGGCAGAGCGGGGACGGGAAGAGGCCTGCTGGGCCACCCCGCCCCCACCCCAGCTCTGCCAGCTCCCAGGCGTCTCCACAGCCCAAGGCTGGGGCTCCAGGACACTCGCAGATCCCTGGGGCCCCGGCGGCCCTGGGGGACGGGCTCGGTGACGCGGAGGGCGGGCTGACCTGTGGGGCGTCCAGAGCTCCTCGCAGATCTCGCTGCCGATGCAGGTGTCCCGGGTGGCCAGCACTGCGTCCCCAAAGGGCACAGTCTCCTGCGCCAGGGACAAGAGCAGGTGAGACCCCTTGGCCGTCCCCGTCCGACCTAGGACCCCCGACGTCACCCAGAAGACTTGCATGAAGGCCGTGCTGGGCTTCTAGCCCTAATGTATCCTTAACGTGGAACACGCCCAGCCCAGGTGGCCCAGTGGCAGCTGGCACCTCCCTGAGGACCCATAAGGGCCTCCGGTCACACGTCCATCGGCCAGGAGCCGTGCTCGGGGCTGCCGCGGAGCCCACATGGCCGCAGCACACGGACTCCGCTCGGAAGCGTCCACTGCACAAATGGCCACCGTCGTCACAGTCATGAATGGCGACGGCTCTCGTCACCGAGGCGCCTCAGGCTGACGCACTGTCTACGTGCCTGGTGGCATCAGGAGGAAGCAGTCCCGTCCCCGGGTCAGAAACGGCCCGGTGGAGGTTGAGGACCTCCCAGAACCTCACGGAAGTCGTTCCGCGGGTCAAAGCAGAACCAGAGACATGGAAGAAGAAACAGACGGACAGACCCAGAGGGAGGGGGCGCAGGTGGGGGGCGGGAGGCGATAAACCAAAGAACCAAAGGATCAACCAAACAATGGAATTCTGATCCGGCGTGGACGAGCCTGGAGAACATGACGCCACGTGAAACCCGCATTACGCTTCAGACCGAGCAGAACACGGACCTCCGTCTGCACGAGCCACGGCCACGAGCCACGCGCGGGACACGCGTAGCCCACAGCTGCCCCGGGGCCGAGGCCCTGCTGTCGCTTCCCTGCAAGAGCCGCCCGCGGTGGTCCTGCTGCCGCCACGGGAGGTCCCGCCCAGCGCGGCCCACCGCCAGCCCCAGCCCCAGCCCCGCGCCGCGTGAACGTGGTTCTGTCCCCGAGCTCACCTGCTTCGTCAGGTCCCGGATCATCCGAGGGAGGAAGTGCTCCTCCGTCTGCCTGGAAGGGAGACAGCGCAGGTCTGAGGCCCGCGCCCGAAACAGAGAGCGCCTCCCAACGAAACCCGGCCCGGCCGGGGCTTCAGGCCACGGGCCCCGTCGTCCCCCCGCCTCAGCCTCCCCACGTGGCCTGACGGGGGCGCCTGGACACAGGGCACCTTTCCCCACGGAGAAACCCAGCGGGGTTCCAGAGAGACCACCCTCTGTTCACCCCACGTACAGAACACACCGGGCCATCTGAGGTAAGGACATGACTGCAGGTTCTCGGAGACGGACAGAGACGCTGAGACACGACCTGAGCACCGGCACCCCGAGGTGCTCCGCCAAAGAGCAGGATTTTGAAAGCAGAGGGTCCACAAAGTGGACCTCAAGTAGGTGGTCCCAAGGGGCACCGTCGAGACAGTTCGTCGCCTGTTTCTTCTTCTCTCTTAGAATTCGCCAGGGCTTCTGGGAGGACTTCCGTGGCTCTTCTACTTAAAAAGCTGAGAAGCAGCCCGGCCGGTGTGGCTCAGTGGACAGAGCGTCGTCCATGGACTGAGAGGTCCTGGTTCGATTCCCGGTCGGGGCACAGGCCCAGGTCGTGGGCTTGACCCCCAGTGGGGGGCGTGCAGGAGGCGGCCAATGGATGTTTCTCTCTCATCCATGTTTCCATCTCTTACTCTCCCTTCCTCTCTAAAACATCAATAAAAACGTATTCTTTTAAAAAGCCCAGAAACGGAGGACGATGGCTTCTGCCCCTCACTGAGGAAGGGGACCGGACCCAGGGACACGAGGCCCCGCTGGCCAGGGCACCGCCGTCGTCCCGTGCAGTGTCCAGTCCCCGTCGGCAGGCTGGTTGGCGGTGATGTTTCCTGTGTCCCGACATTATCTTCTGAGGTTTATCCAGGGTCCCGCAGGGCCGTTGACCTTCCCGCTCCCAGTGATGTGGGCACAGGCGGGAGGCGGGGGGTCCTCGCTCGGCAGCCTTGCGTTCCCCGACATCTCAGTGTCATGAATGCAGAGGGGCGAAGGGACCACTGCGACTGGCTCACACGGCCCGACTGTGCCGACGGTGGCCTTTCGCGTTTTCCCGGCTTTTCCTTCTGTGAAGCGTGTGTGGTCTGTTCCCTCCTGCTCCTTCTTCTGTTTCTTTGACTGGATTCTTCTTTTTGGCGAGTTCCCGCTGATTCATGGTTTCTTTTTTTTTTATTTTATGAATTTTTATTTATTTTTTTGTTACAGATATTTTACCTTTTTACCCCATTGGCACCCCCCACCCCACCCCCCCTCCGCCCCGTCCCCGGCTTAGTTGTCCATGTCCATTGGTCATGCATACATGCATGTAAGTTCTGTGTTTATCTCTTCCCACCCCCCCACCCCCATCCCCTCTTCTGAGGGATGTCAGTCTGAGCCCTACTTCCATGTGCCTGGGTCTACCGTATTCCTCAGACTGTTATGTTCATTATATTCCGTATATAAGTGAGATCATGTGGTATTTGTCTTTTTCTGCTTGGCTTCTTTCACTTAGGATAATACTTTCCAGGTCCCTCCATGTCGTCTCAAAGGATAAGAGATCTTTCTTTCTTACCGCTGCATAGTACTCCATTGTGTATATGTACCACAGCTTTTTATCCATTCGTCTACTGGTGGACACTTGGGCTGTTTCCAGATCTTAGCTACTGTAAATAGTGCTGCTATGAACATGGGGGTACATATATTCTTCCTGATCGGTGTTTCAGGCTTCTTAGGGTATATTCCCAGCAGTGGGATCACTGGGTCAAATGGAAGTTCAATTTTTAATTTTTTGAGGTAACACCATATTGTTTTCCATAGTGGCTGCACCAGTCTGCATTCCCACCAGCAGTGTACTAGAGTCCCCTTTTCTCCACACCCTCGCCAACACTTGTTGTTTGATGATTTGTTGATGGCGGCCATTCTGACAGGTGTGAGGTGATACCTCATTGTTGTTTTAATTTGCATCTCTCTGATGGTTAGCGATGTTGAGCATTTCTTCACATGTCTCTTGGCCATTTGTATGTCCTGTTTGGAGAGGTGTCTATTCAGCTCCTCTGCCCATTTTTAATTGGGTTCTTTGTCTTCCTTTTGTGGAGTTGTATGAGCACTCTATATATATGGGAAATTAACCCCGTATCTGATACATCATTGGCAATGATGTTCTCCCATACAGTGGGTTGCCTTTCCATTTACAAAGCTTCTGCACAGCAAAAGAAACAATCATCAATATGGATGATTGTTTCTTTTGCTGTGCACAAGCTTTTTAGTTTGATGTAGTCCCATGTGTTCATTTTCTCCTTTATTTCTGTTGCCTTAGTTGATGTATCAGTGAAAATTCTGCTCCGTATGATGTCCGAAATTTTGTTGCCTACATTTTCTTCTAGTATTTTTATGGATTCAAGGGTCACATTTAAGTCTTTTATCCATTTTGAGTTTATTTTTGTGTATGGTGTAAGTTGATGGTCTAGTTTCATTTTTTTGCATGTAGCTGTCCAATTTTCCCAACACCATTTATTAAAGAGGCTGTCTTTACTCCACTGTATGCTCTTGCCACCTTTGTCAAATATTAATTGAGCGTATTGCCTTGGGTCCATTTCTGGGTTTTCAGTTCTGTTCCACTGGTCTATATGCCTGTTCTTGTGCCAGTACCAGGCTGTTTTGGTTACAGTCGCTTTGTAGTATAACCTGATATCTGGTATTGTGATCCCTCCAACTTTGTTCTTCTTTTTCAAGATTGCTGTGGCTATTCGGGGTCTTTTTTGGTTCCATATGAACTTTTGAAGTATTTGTTCTAGTTCTATGAAATATGTCGTTGGTATTTTGATGGGGATTGCATTGAATCTATAGATTGCTTTGGGTAGTATGGACATTTTAATGATGTTAATTCTTCCAATCCATGAACAGGGTATGTGCTTCCACTTTTTTATATCTTCCTCTATTTCTTTTTTCAATGACCTGTAGTTTTCTGCAAATAGGTCCTTTACTTCTTTGGTTAAGTTTATTCCTAGGTATCGTAATTTTTTTGGAGCGATGGTAAATGGGATTGTTTTTTCAGTTTCTCTTTCTGTGAGTTTATCATTGGTGTACAAGAATGCCGTCGATTTCTTGACGTTAATTTTGTATCCTGCTACTTTGCCAAATTCATTTCTTAAGTCTAATAGATTTTTGATGGAGTCTTTAGGGTTTTCTATGTACAATATCATGCCATCTGCAAATAATGACAGTTTCACTTCCTCCTTTCCAATTTGGATCCCTTTTATTTTTTCTTCATGTCTGATTGCTGTGGCTAAGACTTCCAGTACAATGTTAAATAAGAGTGGTGAAAGTGGACATCCCTGTCTTGTTCCTGTTCTTAATGGAAATGTTTTTAGTTTCTGTCCATTGAGTATGATGTTGGCTGTAGGTCTTTCATATATGGCCTTTATTATGTCGAGATATGATCCCTCTATTCCTACATTGCTGAGTGTTTTTATCAGAAATGGATGCTGGATTTTGTCGAATGCTTTTTCAGCATCTATTGATATGATCATGTGGTTTTATTCTTCATTTTGTTTATGTGGTGTATCACGTTTATTGATTTGCGAATATTGTACCAGCCTTGCATCCCTGGAATGAATCCCACTTGGTCATGATGAATAATTTTTTTGATGTATTTCTGGATCCGATTTGCTAATATTTTGTTCAGGATTTTGGCGTCTATGTTCATCAGGGATATTGGCCTGTAGTTTTCTTTCTTCGTAGTGTCTTTTCTGGTTTTGGAATTAGAATTATGCTGGCTTCATAGAACGTGTTTGGAAGTCTTCCTTCTTCTTGAATTTTTTGAAATAGTTTGAGGAGAATGGGTGTTAGTTCTTTTTTGAATGTTCGGTAAAACTCCCCCGTGAAACCATCCGGGCCTGGGCTTTTGTTTGCTGGGAGAGTCTTGATTACCTCTTCAATTTCCTTAGTTGTTATTGGTCTGTTCAAGTTTTCTATCTCTTCCGGGAATAGTTTTGGGAGACTGTGTGTTTCTAGAAATTTGTCCATTTCGCTTAGATTGTCGAATTTGTTTCCATATAGTTGTTCATAGTAGTTGTTAACGATCTTTTGTATTTCCGTGGTGTTGGTTGTTACTTCTCCTCTTTCATTTCTGATTTTGTGTATTTGAGTTCTCTCTCTTTGTTTCTTGGTGAGTCTAGCTAAGGGTCCATCAATCTTGTTTATCTTTTCGAAAAACCAGCTCTTTGTTTCATTGATCCTTTGAATTGTTTTTTTGGTCTCTATGTCATTTATTTCTGCTCTGATCTTTACTATTTCCTTCCTTCTACTTGCTCTGGGGTTTTCTTTTTGTTTGCTTTCTAATTCTTTAAGTTGTGAGGTTAGACAGTCAATTAGAAATTTTTCTTGTTTTTTAAGGTAGGCCTGTAGTGCTATGAACTTCCCTCTCAGAACTGCTTTTGCTGCATCCCATAGATTTTGTGTTGTTGTGTGTTCATTTTCATTGGTTTCCAGGAAGTTTTTAATTTCTTCCTTGATCTCCTCGGCGACCCATTCATTGTGTAATAACATGCTATTTAGCCTTCATGTGTTGAAATGTCTTTGCATGTTCTTGTTGCAATTGATTTCTAGTTTCATGCCATTGTGATCTGAGAAGATGCTTGATATGATTTCAATCTTCTTGAACTTGTAGAGATTTAGTTTGTGTCCTATCATGTGGTCTATCTTTGAGAATGTCCCATGTGCACTTGAGAAGAATGTGTATTCTGTAGTTTTGGGGTGTAATTCTCTGTAGATACCTATTAAATCCATTTGGTCTAGTGCTTCATTTAGAGTCTCTGTTTCCTTGCTAATTTTTTGCCTAGAGGATCTATCCAGTGATGTCAGCAGGGTGTTGAAGTCCCCTGCTATGATTGTATTGCTATTGATTTCTCCTTGGAAGTCCTCCAGAAGATTTTTAATATATTTTGGTGCTCCTATATTGGGTGCATATATGTTTATCAAGGTTATATCTTCCTGTTGGATAGATCC